AATAATCTGCAGAAGGAACTGAAATTATCCGAATTGGTTACATCAATTAGAGGTTACGTTCATCTTAAAGGAATGAGAGAATAACTCTTTTACTCAGTGTGACTGTCAGGGTTTCTGGGTTGTTGACCCAGTATTTTCAGTTCACGTTCACTGTTTATCTTCTGCCTGTTCCACTTCCTGTTTTATTGTGTTAGCCTTGGTCTCTGTGCATTATGTTCAGTCCTCTTCCCATTTATCATTAGTTCATTATGTTCAGCTGTTCACTCACCTGTCTCTAATCACTCATCATTCAGCCTGTGTATTTAAGCTCCTCAGTTCCAGCAGTCTATTGTTGTGTCATTGATGTTATGTTGTCGTTTCCGCCTGCGTTCAGTCAGCTAGCCATTCAGTCTTTCATTCATTCATTCATTCATTCATTCATTCAGTCAGTCGTCCAGCCAGCCGGCCCTTTCCTACTTCTGCTCTGTTTGTTCACTCCGTCGACAATAAACACCAACCTTCACCTACCTGTGAGTCCAGCATTTGGGTCCTCCTTCTCTCATCCACGACACTAATCCTGACAGAGACTGTTTTTGATGTCGCTCTCAATTGATCCGTTATTGTATTCACATGTTCATACGGGATATTGTATTTGTTTTAAATGTTATATACTTATGTAGTACATGTATTTTGACTTTTGTTGCCATGATGCCAGGTCTCTCTTGGAAATGAGATTTTTAATCTCAGTGAGATTCTCACCTGGATAAATAAAGGACTAATAATAATAAAAAAAAATAATACAGTTTACTGGCAGATGTTTGTCGGTCCCTTTCTAAGCTCCTCACATGACATTATGTCTCAGCTGCTGTTATAATTTCTTTTTTAAATCTAATGTCTTTTGCGGTTAAAATACGTTCTTCGAAAACACCAACATGCCCATTTATCCTGTTTGAACCTGGTGAGTTCACTGGTTATGACATCCTCCATAGTCTTAATGCTTGTGTATATATATACTTTACAGTAGATTGCCCTGATGTCTTCCAATTGTTTGCATAGACAGTTTACAATACAGCTGACAGTAAGTTCACACACAAGAACTGTAAGTTAGCTATTATTACGAGGAAGGCATTATCCTTGTGATGACCACAACTGAGCTTATTTCCTTCTTTAACACAGGACTTTGCACTTTGCCGCTTAGTGTTTGCTCCTGTCAGCACTGCGGTGTGTGTTTGCTTTTATGTGATTAGAAATTATTAAGGTGAGCTCAAATGGCATCCAGCGTTTCTCTGTAAGCGAGAGGCTCTGTTCATCAGTGCCATAGGCGCTCTTCAGTAAACAAATCTCTGCCTCACTCATTAACAGAGAGAGGGGCTCCTGTGTGTGGCGCGAGTACACAACGAGCTAGCTGTTCAGGTAAACAAACATTACTAACACCCGGAGTGTAAATATAAGAGGTGGGAATTAACCATGGCTTTACTGACTGATTGTTTTTGAGTGTGTGTTTGTGTGGGCGTTTTGTGTCCTTTAACTCAGTTTGCATCAGCCTGTGAGTCGAATCCTTGAGAGCTTGTCTTTCAGGTTTTCCTACACGCCCACACGCCAGCACTTGGACATAAACACCCACTGGGCGTGGAAAATGCCTGACATGTTTATAGAACAGTTTTTCCTTTTAGAGTCAGTCCGCTGCTCTGGCTGCAAAAGGTGTGTGCTCAGTCCACCTGCTCCACTGAGAGCTGCCATCTCTGTGGCAGCCAACATCATTACGCTTTAAAACACGCTCAGTAGACCCAGCATGGCGGAGGAATGTGTCCCCGAGGATTTAGACCTGAAGGAGATGGGTGAGGAGGAGCTGTGGGAGCTGATTAATGACAACCGCCATCGGATCTCGCTAGGAGTGCGGCCGTGCATCTTGATCCCGTACCTGAGGCAGGCCAGGGTTCTCAGTGAGATGGACGAGGACGAGATCCTTTCCTGCCACAACCTCACAAACCGCTGCATGAGAACGAGTGAGATTTTCATTGTTTTCATGGATTTTAAAGTCAGTTGAAACTCTGTCCATGAGATGATACAATAGACTGCTGAGTTAACCACTTAGAAAAGTGTAGCAGCAACATATAAAATCATCATGTCACACTGACAGAGTTTAGGTGTATCTGTAAAAACAAAATTCTTCAGATTTAGAATTGTGATTATTTGCATCGCTGCTGTTGCTCGATGACATTAACTCAAAGGTTAATTTGGAAGTCTCATTGTAATCTACTATTTCTAGGCCACATGCTGGATCTGCTGAGAACCCAGGGAAAGAATGGTGGTATGGCCTTGCTGGAGAGCTTAATGATCCACTACCCAGCACTCTACACCCAGGTGACTGGACGCAAGCCCAGCACTGAGCCCTCAAGATTCAGTGGTGAGTGGCTCAAAGTCTTTGTATGTCTTATGGATGTGTTTGTTCTCTTTGTTCTGCTGACTGCAATCCTTGCACTCTCTTTCAGGCCTGATAAAATACTCAGAGCTGACTGAGTATCTGGTCAGAGCCGTCACAGGGATGCAGAAAGAGCTGCAGGAGGCCCGTAACGAGGCCAGCAAATTGAGAGCACACTGCGCCTCTCTGGAGGCAGACATCAGTCAGATGATGGAGCAGGAGATGAAGTCCAGAAACCTGCGCACCGACAACGAACGGATCCAGAGACACTTGTGCTCTTTGCAACGTGAAGTCACCAAGCTGAAGGATGAGAAGTGTGACTTGTATATTCGCTACACAGCAGCAATCGAGGAGAAATCAGCTGTGAACGGGCGGCTCCACGAGCTAAACCTTCAGGTCAGCGGATGTCATTAGAGTCTGTTTGTTCACTGCAGGAGACCTTCTGTCTGAGTCTCAAAGCTGTCATTCCTGGGGAAAATCCTCAAAAGGCTGATGTTAAAGAAGTGAAATTAAAAGCTTGAAAGGATTAGACAGTGCCAAGGGAGGCTTTTGTCGTTTTGTGTTCACAGCCTGAAAAAAAGTTGTATACTTTACTGTGGTAAATGTTCTCCCACTCAAGTGACACCTCACAAGTAATCTGAGTAGCTATTTAGCAAAAAGTCTTTGCTATATACAGGAGCTGTGGGGTTTAAGTTACCAGGCAGAACAAATGAAAGGCAAAAGTGGGAAGTGTTCAGGATCTTTCCTTCTGTAACATGTCACACTTTCCTTTTTTAAATTGTACTCTAATGACTGAGCCATCCACTCAAAATCAAAGTCCTTCTGTCCTCCCTACAGAAAGGGCTGCCATATTTATCCTCAAGCAAAGATAACAAGCAGGCTCCACAGTTCTTATATGCTGCATTTGAACTTTTAATCTTCAGATTTGACCTCTACAGATTCAAAACAAAAGCATATTACAAAAGACGTTTCACTGGTTTCCTCCAAAGGCACAGCAAAAGCTCTAAACTGCACATATGAGGTGTTGTAAAGCTACTTCAGTATCTGCAGTTGTTCCTCCCACAAGTCTCCAAATCTTAGAGAAGTATAGCGCTAAATTGCTGCTGTTTTTGTGTGAGACAGTATGTAGGCATGATCCACTCAGGAGTGAAAGGTCATTTTGAATGTGGTCATAAAAGTCTTTTTTTCTAAATAACAAAATTGTTATTTCTATTATATTTCCCAGAAACATTGTTTAGTTGGGTAAGAGAACATTTTGTATGACAGTAAAGATTCATGTTTGAAAAGACTTTTGTTTAAAAAACAACTCTTTTAATTTATTGAGAGTTTAAAATAACTCAGAGTTTATCCTGACTGTGTGGTTGGTTTGGTCAGGACTGACCCCAACCAGTCACAGCAGATGGCCCCGCCCCTCCCTGGGCCTGGTTCTACCGCAGGTTTCTTCCTGTCAAAAGGGAGTTTTTCCTTTCCACTGTCGCCAAAGTGCTTGATAGTTGGGTTTTTCTCTGTATGTATTATTGTAGGGTCTACCTTACAATATAAAGCACCTTGAGGAGACAGTTGTTTTGATTTGGATAAATAACACTGAATTAAACTGAATTGAGCTGATGGGTAACAGAGAACTTGGTGAAAGGAAACCACTTCAATCATGCAAGGATATCAGAACTGACTTCAGATCATCAGAACTGTTTTGTCAAAGTCATTTCACCTCTGTTGTTTTCCAGCTGGTCAAAGTCATTTGATGAATTGAATATATTTCTCCTTTACTAGCATCTCTATCATTGAATCTAAAATCCTTGTCCTCACATACAAGATCTGGAAAAGTCAAGCCGAGGGGATTTAAAAGTAGAATAGGAGGCAAAGCCTGCCCTCTCTCCTGTGAATCAAGTTCCAAATTTGGATTTCTCTACCTTTAAGATTAGGCCTAACACATTCATTTTTCAAAAAGCTTGTAGTTAGCACTGGATCAGATGACTGTGAACCTTCCCTTAGTTCTGCTGCTGTAGTCTCAGGCTGCTGTGGGCTTCTTATAATGCCCTGAGCTTTTCTTTTCCCTTCACCGCTTCTCTCTCTCCTTGTTTTCACACAACATTATTGTGTTTTTAGTTTCTAGTAAACTCTGAACCTGGTTGCTTCCCACTGCCACCAAGTGCTTGCTCATCAGGGGAAGGGGGTCATCTAATTGCTGAATTTAATTGAATTGTCTCCAGTGTCTCAGATTTACTGATTTACACTCTTTGTTTCTTACCACAGACTATAAAAAAAAAACCCCATAAAACACCTAATTAGATGTACAGTGTCTCAAGTCTTGTTTGTCTTGTGTGGCGGCAGGTGTATCAGCTGCAGACTGAGCTACAAAATGCCCAAGCAGAGAATGAATTCCAGAGGCAGCGGTCACTCAAGTCTGTTTGTCCTGAGTCACCGCAGCTGCAAGATGAAGTCAGGAGCCTGCGCTGCCAGCTGGCGAAGGCAGAAAAACTAGACCCCGTGAGCGCAATTGTTCTTTTTTTGTTTTTCACTTAGACCATTTTTTTCCACTCATATTCTTTAGAAGGTGAAATCTTACTTTGCTGCTCCTGTTGCATCAGGCTCGTCAGGACATCCTGGCTCAAGACCTGGCGGAGGCCATAGACAGTCAGGTGGAGCTAGCGGAGCAGCTCCGATCATACAGGGAGGAGAACGAACAGTTGCTCAGAGACAAAAAAAAGGTGTGTTTGTTTTTGTTTTGTTTTTTTCCTTCAGTGGTTACAGTAACCGGACCAGGAAATGTCACACAAATTCAACCAGTTATCTCTGATGGAAAGTGATCTTTTCAGACTCCCACTCAACGCCATGATGGGCAAAAGTATCAGCTGCTACTTGGAGAGTTATTGTTACCTAACACTAATATAAATAAACCATGAAACCATGAATACCACATACTTCTTTATATAAAAAATGACTTTCTAATGTAACATAGACTTAAAATTGAAGCTAAATTGGCAAAATATGCGTGTATTTGTCAGCTCTTGGATCAGAACGAGTCTCTGAGCCTCCAGGTGCAGCAGCTGACTCTGGACTGCAAAATGCACCAGCAGAAGAGCGCTGTGATCCAGAACCAGATGAAAGCGCTCCAGGCCGAGAGAGACCAGGTAAGGAATTGATGACAGTGCCTCTAATCAATCTTTCCTGAATTTGATAAACAAATTAATTAACATTTCCAAGCTGCATTTTTCTGTTTTAGACTTTACTTTTACGGAGAGCATCGGTTTTGCTCTGGTTCATTGTTGCGTTGTTTCAGTGCTTTAAGTGTCAGATATTACGCCGTTCTTCTGTACTTGTCTGTTGTGTGTGTGTAGGCATGTGTTTATGTGTCTTTGATAAAGGACACAGTGTACGCGCTTCTCTGTTTTAAATAATACTTTTCTTTTTAAAGGAGCGGTGTTCTGTTTTTTTCTAACATGTTCTTACCTTCACATGAAAACATCATGAAGAAATGATCCACTTTAAAGTCATTTAACATAAGCTGTCATTAACTTGAACCCTTTCCTCTGAAAACAATGAATTAAAAAATTCTACCACACCCTAAAAACTGTCAGATTGCATTTAACAGCATTTAACTACCTCACTGAAGCAGGGGAATTTGATTTGTTAGACAAGTCTCGAGCGGATAGTGTGACGCACACACAAGCTCGAGGAATGAAGGTGTTGAAGTTCCACAGCACAGACTAATTAAGATCAAGACAGTACCTTCAATTCTATAACTACTTCTGCAGGCATAACATATTCAGACTTACACTGCTTATAGTATGGCTTTGCTTGTTGTTTAAAGAAAAACTTTAATCTAGTGTAATTTGAAAAATTTAAAAGACAATCAACTAATGACAAAAATACTTACTTTACCTCACTGTGCTTTGTTTTCTACATGTATATGTATATTTGTATTTATTTGACGCTGCACACAACATTTCCTCTGAGTTGTAATAACAAGTATTCTCAAGCAAAGAGGAAAAAAAAAATGCTCCTATTCCTACGAGTATTTCCCTGGAGAATCGTGTTAGGGATACAGATGTCCATTTCAGTGTTTCAGTAAGAAACTTTGTCACCAAATGCAGGTTTATCACATTAAAAGTCTAATTGTTCAGGTTAGGAAACTCTTTAAATCATTGATTTTTCTCCCTTTTTTCCCAGTTTTTGAATACTGTCTGAAAATGCCAAAACATAAGAACTTTTTTTAATGGAAATTATCAGAGCGTGATCAAAGTATATCTTACGCACCTGAAAAATATAACTGACGCATTAACTATTTAACAAAGCTGTTTCCCAAACTAGAGCTTCTGACACTCTTGTCTC